TTCCTTTAAACCTCGATGGTTTTCGCATCGGTGAGAAGAAGCACAAAAATGAGAAAACTTTTTACGACCAGCTATTCCGTTTTGCTTTCTTTCCCAGTCGTTCGAAATTGTCTTTGCAATATCTTGGGAGAGTGTGAAATATAATTAAAAATAATTAAAATCTTGAAATAGTGAACTTTAATAAAAATTTGAATTTCTTTTTATATATTATCTCGTAGAATTCGCGTAGAAATTCTCGATTCAATTGGTTTAATGAACAATTTTTATAAAATAGAAGAAGCAAGAAAGAAAGCATAGAAACGAGTTTCTTTATTTTTATTTTTAAGCGTCGTTTGTAATTATTATTAATTAATTAATAGTGTATATATATATATATATATATATACACATATGTATTCATTTATCTTTAATACCTTTAATACCTTCTATTCGCGTAGATATTGGGGGAAAAAAATATATATATAAACCAATTTATTTATTTCAAAATCCCTTGGTTTGTGAATCAAATCGTTAAAAATCAATTTCGTTCCTCCCTTTCTTGTCCCTGTTTTATTTAACGTGGGCTTCGTAATACGATCAATTGTTTCCACGTTTGTGAGCCATCTGGTAAAAAAAAAAAAAAAAAAAAGAAAAGAAAAAAAAACATTTGCCAGAACCCCGCAAAAATCTGTGGCCCACGTTTCGACCTGTTCGGGCCACCATTCATCTCTAAACTTTCCCTGAACGTGACCGATATTTCGTCGATGCGTTCCACAGCAAATTGGACGGAAAGGAATTTCGAAATGTCTATCCCTTGATATACATCTTCTATAATAAACTATTATCACGGTGACGAAGCTTCGCATTCGTTCCTTTAAACCTCGATGGTTTTCGCATCGGTGAGAAGAAGCACAAAAATGAGAAAACTTTTTACGACCAGCTATTCCGTTTTGCTTTCTTTCCCAGTCGTTCGAAATTGTCTTTGCAATATCTTGGGAGAGTGTGAAATATAATTAAAAATAATTAAAATCTTGAAATAGTGAACTTTAATAAAAATTTGAATTTCTTTTTTTATATATTATCTCGTAGAATTCGCGTAGAAATTCTCGATTCAATTGGTTTAATGAACAATTTTTATAAAATAGAAGAAGCAAGAAAGAAAGCATAGAAACGAGTTTCTTTATTTTTATTTTTAAGACAAATTAACGAAGAATAGAGACTCGTATCACGCATATATGGTCGCAATCTTGAATCTCCGTTTTCTCCGTTGAATGATATAACATATTTGATATTTATTACTATGCGAGAAACATTAATGAGCATTCAATGGATCGTGATTCATGTTCGAACGGTATACACCGCATTAATACGATCAATTTTATGAAAATCACGTTCCGCTCTCCATTCACCTCGATCAAGAAAATCTGAACTACGCGTAATTTCGAAATCCCGCCTCGTTATTTTATCCTATTGAAACGGGTTAATTTAACCAAGAAATATTTCTCTTGATACGAAAGTCGCCAAAAAAAAATATATCAATTACCTTGAAAACCTTTTTTTTTAATTTTATCTTTCTGGAAAAAAGAAAAGACAGAGACATTGAGAAGCCGAGATAAAAAATAGAAAAAAATAATCATTTTTTTTTTTTTTGTTTTGTTTCGAAAGAGATTCGGCATTATGCGCGTATCGAAAAAACGAAACGAGAAGATCCTTTTTCATTCGTTTCACGCTCTTTTCCTACCTTTCGCATGGAAATCTCGATTTTTCAATTCGCCACGCGCAAAAGCTACTTTTCCAGGGAAATACCGAATGCGAGAACGGAAGGCGATTAATATCGCGTGACTTGACGCCTTTTCGCAGATTTCCCTGTAAATCCGCCGTTTAAACTTCCGTTTATCTTCGTTTCACACGTCCATGCTCTCGATTCATAATCACTCTTGACTCGTATTATCGGCACGAAGAAGGAACGTTTCAATTAATTATCAGGGACGAATGAAAAAAAAAAAAAGAAGAAGAAAAAAGAAGCGATTTCGTTAATGGAAAAATCGAATTTATTTTCTTATATTTGTCTCTTATATTTTTCTCATTCTCTCTCATAAATTCAAATCCATAATTGTATTGGATACTTAAGAAGTGACCCATATTCCGTGACTGTGCGAATATCTTTTGTTCAAACGAATGAGAATCTTGCGGGGGAAAAAAAGTTGATGCACGATACGAAATGAAATGACGCTAACGATTAATTATTGACATTAGCCACATAAAAACTTGATCGTATCTACATTGAATTTTCATAAAATAATCAAGTACTTCTCTTTTTCTTTTCTTCTTTAAAAAACTCGATCGTTTTGATCCATCGCATTTTCTTCTGAATGAACATTAGAAAAATTATATATAATAAAAAAAAAAAAAACAACTGAAAAGTTAATTTAGCAAATCTTTTAAAATCTTCTTGGAAGAAGAAAACGCGATGATGGCTGTTTGGTCGATCTCGAGTCAAAGTGAATGAAAACTTATGCCGTTGTGAAACATTTTTCCTCATCATATTTAACACCTACTCGACACCAGACGTGCAATCTAAGGAGAAACTGGAAGAGAAGAAACGAGGTTCAACGGGGAAAGATGGATGACTTTTTTTTTAAATTAATTTTTATCTCCTTCGGTCACTTTTTTCCTATTAATTAAGAAACTTTCAAAGGTGCGATAACAAAGGACGGGGAACGATAATAACGATCGAACATCCCATATATTATCCACCCAAATACCCGAGTATAATATATTAAATCTTTACGGAACTGAACGATCGAGGTCTACCGCGAGAATTGTCTCGATATAAAGGTTGAAACCGGCTAATGGCCGATAATGGAACCGGCTGGAATGGAAGTATAACCAAATTATGATGTCGACTGGCTGCTCGTGATCCGGAAAACAATATTCGTAGGTAGGGAACGCGTCATTATACGTATTCTGCCCGTACTTCTTCCTACAGGAAGAATAACTTTTTGCCAACGATTCAACTCTGTAAAAACAAGTGACAAATTATTCGATTTTTCGTGGAAATTAATCGATTTATTTATCTTATGTAATACATCGTTAATTTGTTAATTCGATAAGTAAGTGTGAAATTATTTTCGAAAATTTTCGAAAATATACGTTAATAAACGAACGAATATGGTAATGCAATAACGAAGGGGAATGCAATAATGATTTTCATTGATAGAATTTATAGCGAACGTGTCTTATCCGCGCTCGTGCCCTGAAAAGGCATTAGCGGATTAATCAGCATTCGCATTACCTTGAGCCATCACTTGTAATTTTCACCAACGGCACTTATCATACCACGGATCAGCCATGTTCCTGATGCGACAGTCTTAAAACTTGTTAGCTCAGACTTTTGACAAAGCATTATTAGAGGCTCCGTTCCTAATCCTTCCTTCATTTCCATTTAATTCCGAAACTCGTGTTAAACAAACATCGAGTCAATTCCTATAGTACGAAAATGTGAAAATAAAGCGAATTTGAAAAGGCGCGAGTAAATTTAACCGGCGTGAACTCTTGAACGTGAATTTAAATTGTTAATTATGTAATTATAATAATATATATTTATAAAAAAAAAAATTCTCAAATTTAAATCCGCATCTTTGAATTTATAAATTTAATTCCCCTTGAACCGAACTGTTTGAACTCGAGAGTATACGAAATTTTAATTTCAATCGAATGAATAACCGAACCGTTGTGCGTCAGATTGTATTTTTAAACAATCTCGATCGCGAGCAAACTTTCTTCTCTTCGAATCTCCTCTCCCTCTCTTCCATTTCGTTTTGCATTGACACGATCTGATCTGTATCTATCAAAAGTAAAGGCACCATAAATGGCAACGATTCACATTAGGTAGAGAATATTTTTGCCTCCTTGCATTCGTAAACGAATCGGATTAAAATGCAATATTCCAAGTTAAATTGGAGACAGATCGTTATACTATATTCGTTTCTGCAACAACTAATGTATTATTCAATATATCCCCTCCGTATAACTGGCGTCGTTAATTGACATATTTGGAGGTGAATCGAGAATTTCGCCTTACAACCGATGACCTTTCGTGTAACGGCCTTGACCAAACCGATACCTCGTTCATGGATCGATACCACATCGCGGTGGAAACGTGTAATATTTGTAGAATCCATCACTTCCCTCCAACACTTCTCTTCGTAAACTTTTTTATCCGCGACAAAATTCCCACGAATAACTTTTTACCAATGTTCTCGATCTTCCTTTCGAAGATCGTTCAAACGAATCTATTTTTTTTTTTCTTTAATTCTTTTAAAGTTTGAAAAACAATATAAATTCTAGTCTTCAAACTGTATCTCAAACAACACTGATGATACTTTTCATTATGCGAAAGATTATCATTTGATCCGAGGGAAAACACCAATTGATTAACAATTCAGAATTGACACAGGTTGGTCGTGTATCCTCGAAGAACAGGGAGGAAGCGCAATCGCATAATTCCGGCATCAAATCGGTCGTTGAATAATTAACGTTCAAATTAGCCCAAAAACTCGATAGTCATTCGCACACAGTCGTTTCTCTAATATCCCGTCCAATCCCATTTTGCGTTTCGCCGCCAAAATTACGTATCAGGCTGCTCGAATAATTCGTGCTGGATTTCTTAATGGTGACGAAACGATATGAAAATCTAATTAAATTGGAAATAATCTATACTGTATCGAGAAATAGAGGAAACGTAAAAAAAGAAAAAAGAAATAAGATAAAATTCTAAAATCAAAAATTCATCATTCTTCTATTCCTTACGCGATTTAACCAAAATTCGGATCGATGCAAAATCAAGTTTTACAAAGTTTCCGCACGATTCAATATCATATACCATTGAGCATATTATTAAATCAATCGAATTATTATAATTCAAACGTGAAATCGGGATGGATACTCACAACATAATTTATTAATGAATGCATTAACCGCGACTTAATTCGATCGATACAACAACATCGTGGTGTCAGATGTTTCAGATGCAGCCGCCATCACGGGGCCTCGCATCGCGGCCGTGAATCAAAGGTACGACACTTGAACAGTCGACGATCGAGCTCCATTCACCGAGGGCAACCATCTTCGAAGAGGATCAAACCACGCGGGAGGAAGAGGAATGGTCCCTTGGGCCTTTGGCGTCCCTCTCGTCCTCGTTTCTGCTTTGGGTCTTTTCCTAAACGGTTACGTACTCCTCGTGGTTCTCGGGCTGGGTAAACAGGTGAATGAAAAAAAAAATGATAAATAATTTATCGATCTATGTATGTGTTGCAAATAGCGCGAGAATGTGAAAGTAATCTTTCGTATTATCTCTTTGTGCGACGAATAAATAATAAAATCGTTCTACAATCGTGTTCTTCACTCGACGATTCTTCATTTCATTTGATTTCGCTTAATTTCAATAGAGATTTTTTCTTTTTTTTTACTCTATTATTTAAATTTTTCAAAAACATTAATTTCTAAGAAAAATTGAAATATTCTACATTTTTCATTTATTTTTCCATAAAGAGTTCCATTGGATTTTCGAAGCGATTTAAACGAAACGAGAAATTTAAATTATTTACAGATTTTTGAAATATTTAAAAGTTGGAATTCTTGAGGGAAAAGAGGGTGGCTGTTTGCAATAGACAATAGATCATTCGGGGAATTATTCAATAGGCTATCGGTCTTTCTTGATGGCCGTGTTATCGGAGACAAAGGGCACACAATGAAGTTTGATAGCGTATGAAATGCTGTACGATAAATCGAGAAATTTACTAGCTTCACGTTTTGATATCAATGAATATCAATGAATTTCTATTCGAATTGGAAAAATCCGGTTCCTCGATGAATTGAAAACTTTATAGAATAGAATCGAAGGAATTATAGTATCGGTTGAGTTTAACCAAAAAATAAAAAACAAATTAAAAATAATAATTGAGAAATAAAAAAAATTTGCAGAAATATATAAGATAATTATTTCTTCGAGATCCTGTTAACAATTAATATTTCTTATAGCCTTTCAAAAATTTAGAAAGAGAAAAAAAAATGCATCCCTCGATAAACTGAATTACGCAACAACGTGAAATCCCAATTTTATCCATAGTAAAAATGTAGCTTTTTAAATTGTTCGCACGCAAAGAAAGAAGGATAACTAACTCCATCTTGCTTTATCCCGTTACAAAAGCTCTCTGAGGGTCTTTTTTTTTTTTTTTTTTTTAGTAGAATCCTTTTCATGCCATTCCAGAATACGAGAGGGTTAAGATTCCTTTCGAAGGAACTGATTCGCGAGATTTTTCCGCTCGTGCGTCTAATCCCGCCTTTTAAAACGGCTTTCTTTGGATGGAAAAAGAGAGGGCCACTCCTTTCGCAAGCATGACACATTTCTCGGCGAAGAAATGAAACCTTCCCCGCGGAAGGAAAATGGCCGCAGCCTGAAAATAGCCTTATGCTTTTACGCGATCCATTTTAGTGGGTGCCGCTGACTGACCATGGCAGTTTGAACAACACAGAGGTTGACCCGCCGCACGAGGTTGCAAGAGATCGCATGCTTTTCGATATAATATCGAAGGCCGGACTACGTTGAATGACAGTCGGCGAACTAGGTCGCGTGAAATGCGTTCTTTTTCTTCGAGACTCACACGATTTACCGAGTTGTTTCACCTGAATACGTTTCAAATATGGCACATTGTCAAACCAAAAGCTTCGAATCGTTTGTTACGTTTCTTTTTTCCTTTTTTTTTTTTTTATTCTTAATTTGTATGCACAACTATGTAACAATTGGTCTCGATAAAAATTCGTTCGTCGATGAAATTATGACAAAAAAATTTGTTAAATTGAATTTCTTGTATTTCTACATTTTATATCTGAAAAGATCGAGGAGAAACGATGAATCCTCGAGGGATTTCGATCGGGAAAAGCCGATGCTCTTTGAAAACGCGCCCTCTTGATTTCTTGATGTTATTACTTCACTTTGTTTTATATGGATGCTTGGAACTCACGATATTTCATAACATCCTTTCTTATATTTCATATTTTTATATTTCGTACATTTTTTTTTTATATTCCATATTTTTTAAGATTTCACACTCTATTCCATACTTTATCTTCCCCGCGTTCTTCTTATCATCTGTAAAATTATTTCCATCTAACATAACACGATAAAATAAACGCGAATAAAAAACAATATTTGCAAATCCTCCAAATTTATTCGATTTCCACGAATTCTATTCGGAATAGAAGAAAAGAATAAAAGAAATTTCGTATTTAACAAATATTAAATCAATTTAAATACGCAATTTAAATTTACGCAAACGCCGGAATAAGGACAATGATGTTTAAATTCATCTTTTAATCCGCCATAGTTATTTCTCTCCACAATGTAGAAAAGTCGACGAAGGAATTTAAGAAAGAGAAAGAGACAGATAGAGGAAGAGAGAAAAAGAGGGAAAGATCAGGCGCCAACAGCGGAAAAGTTTAAATTACAAGATCCCAGCTGGAAATTAAGATTGCACGGTGTAGGGGAAGTTTTGATCGTTCCAAGAAAAGTTTATTTAACAAGTTAACCTCGTGTATCGCGACCGATGTCCGCAGACGCAGCAGCAACAAACCGCCAATACTTTGTTGTTGATACACTTGGGCGCGGTGGAGGCGGCTGTGTGCCTCATATTACTGATCTTTACCACTGGTTCCTGGCCAATCGCCGGCACCTGGTGCGTCCTACACGGTTTCCTTTTGGCTCTCTTACATCCGGTCGCTCTCTGGACCGTGACTGGATTGAATTGCGACAGGTAAGCTTTTATAGATTGAATTTTGTAAATTTCGAATTCCGTTTGTTATTTCGAATTGGAAAAAAAAAAAAAGAAAGAATTGAAATAGAATTGGGGATAAAAGTAATAATTCGACGAAACGAAACGTTTCATGTTTAATTTGTATTGTTTTAGATAAAAATATAATATTCTTTTTTAGGGAAACATCGAACAAAAATTCGGCAATCAAATAGACAATGCAAACAATCGTTCATCGATTCGTCGTTCAGTAGTGTCTACAGCCATTTTTCGGCTACAAAATGGTGGAGATAGGAAGTCTTTTATCCCTCGTAATACACGGTAGAAAAATTGAGTTCGATTCGGTGGCGTTCAACTATTCTTACGTGGTACAAAGCTTTTCAACGTAAGATGTCAATAGATGGGTTTCCACCCCCGATATCTCTTTGCCCGAGACCAGATCTTCGATTCAATCGGAAACCTTTCGACGTCGTACCGTCCCATGCCTCTTCTCATATCTACGATTCTCCAGAGGAAGAGAAAGAGCCAATACTCCTTCAAATTACACCCTAGAAACGTGTAAACGGCACGATATCTCGACTATGCACCTTTTATCGATAATGATGAACAGCGGTCGAAGGGCCAGTTTTATCGCGCCATTTTAGCCCTTCTCGTCAGCGCGGAATGTTAATAAAAATTTCGATGATGCGAGAGATGACGTTATTCGACAAGCGTTTGTGATCGAACGGAGGGATAAAGTTGAAAGCAATAAGATAAATTTTTTTACTGCTTGCGAATCAATTCAATTTTATTTTTTTACGTTTAATGAATGGTTTCTCGTTTTATTTGTTCGTAAGATTTGTTATATTCTTTGAAATGATGAGAGAAAAGATCGATCGTCTTCTTTGTATCTTTCAAATTAGGAGAAAGCTAATTCGTATATACGTATAAAATAGATATATTGCCACTAGATTTGTTATCCTATTTGTAATTTAATTCGTGTAATAATTTAATTCATCTTTAATGCATGACTATTTCGCATACAGCAAATATGCCTCAGGTATAAAGCATATTTGATATTGAAATATTTGTATGAAAAAATTGTTAAAGATTCGATCGAATAAATTTTACTAAGAAAAATTTGTTATAAGTTAATTTAAAAAAATTTATCGGAATATATTTATATTCCGTAAAATTTTTCGAGGAAACATGTATACTTAAATAATCGGATAATGATAAAATGTACATGAATTAAAATATATACGCGAATATATCAACGTAACCCATGAACCCGTATTTAAATTTATGTAAATTAGACAACTCTTAATATACAAACATTGAAATATATTATTACTCTGTATTAATAGGATAATTCTGATTTTTAATTCTTTATGTTGTTACACATTTAAAACCATGAATTGTTTCTTAATTATTATCTTAGTATATATGAAAATTTATTTATCCTCTTTAATCGATATCGATCATCCATTTTAATTTTCACGTAATCACATTGACTTTCAACCGATCCTTTGATCCTTCAATTTTACCTTAAAACGATTTTCACTAATTTATTTATCTTTATATCCATGAATTTCAGACATTTTTTTTTTAAATACTTTTCGATTCGTTCATACAGGATTTTGTGTGAAATATACAAAATTAAAAAAGAAAAGGAAAATAAATCATATGGAAGTTATAACAAGGTTGATTTCCATACATATATAAAGTCACGTTCCTTTAACAAATATTTATCACGCTCGTGAAGAAGTAAAGAGAAACAGGAGCCGAAGAGAGTTACGCAGATAAAAATATAATGTGACACGTATCTCCTTCATCACTTGGAAATATCGTGGGTGCCCGATTTCAAGCCGATCGAACATGCTCGATATTTTATTCACGGCCCACGCCAGTTTAAACCGAATCGCATTCCTTTTCGACAGTGTCGTGACCTCTTCTCTTCCATCCTATTTGCCACCTACTTTTTCATTATTCACTCGTGCATTCCGGTAATTCCGGAACAACCGTTTAAAAGTATTCGCGTCACAAGTTGTGACACGGCTGTGAAAAGATTCGATTCGATTTCGAACGTCATCGAGGAATTTTCTTTCCTTGGAAAAATTTTTGCACAAGGAGACTTACTTCGTAAAGAGCGACAGTTTTCACAAATACCCTTGTTAGGAGTGAATTATGAAACAAAAAATATCGATCTGATATCATCCACTAAATTGACTCAGCCACTGAATCAACAAAAGTTCTTCGATCGGATATATCGATGACAAATTGACAAATTGTTCTTGATTACTAACTAAATTATTAGGAGGTGCATAAATTCGAAAAGTATCTTCATTTGAATATTTGGATATCGTATTGCATCACCTTAAAGGATGATATAAATCAAGCTTAACGACGTTATCTTTTGCGCAGATATTACGCGATCGCGGCACCCCTGCATTACGCCGCATTGGTATCACCTCGACGCGTTGCAGTCGGCCTAGCTGCATCTTGGACAGGGGCATTGCTCTTGTGCGTGCTGCCCTTCTGGGGCCTGGTACCACCTTACAGGTTCGTCTATCAATCGTAAATTTGTACATTTCATTTCTTTTCTTACGGATATAATAGATTTTGTCAAGAACGAAGATTTTTTCATTGTTCGAGAAAGCCGAGCTGCGCGATGAATCGAAAGCAATATCTCACCCGCGTTTGCGCTGCTCGTTAGCGTGTCAAGGCTGGGATTAATTAGATTCTCTTACTTTTGAAATCGTCGAAGACGTTCACGAATAATGATTTTCTCAACGAGGGAACAAAAAAATACGAAATGCATGGAATTTCAGATGCAGAAATTCATCGCCTCCATCCTAAACCCCAGATCTCCTTCACAAAAGCCCCTCCAGAAAAGAATCCTTCAGACAAGAGAAGAAATCCAGAGAATCTCACGAAAGGATGATCGTTGCCACAGATACAGCCCGGGCCTCGGTTGCTGCGCGCCAGACTTCGGCAACGACTCGTGGGGCTTGGCCGCGGCCCTCTACGGGGCCGTTTACGCGATCCTGGGCCTGGCTCTGCCCGCGGTCCTCGTAACCGTGTGCAATTTGCGCGTGCTCGGGATCGCCCGTTACCACAGGCACCGAATCGCCAGCGCGATTTACGAGGTGACGTTGAGCGCGCAGGCGACCATCACCCATCAGCGGAACCCGTTTTTCGTACCCACTGTCACGGCGCCTTCGGTCGTCAGCCCGCCCCGATTTCACAGCGCGGCCAAAACGGTTTGTACATAACCACATCTTCTCCCTAATTTTCGTTTGCGCTCCATAATTTTCGCGATATCGCGTGATATCAACGCGTGGAATAGATATCCGGAGGTGGGTAATTTCCATGGAACGGGTAGCGAGATAATGCAGCAATTTTGAGAGAGCGATATCGATTGGCCGTTTTTCGGGGGAAGTTTTAATTTCTTTCGAATTCGGCGTTGCTTCTTTTTTTTTTTTTTTTTCTTGTTGATTTTTTATTGTTACTTAGATTTTTAGAGTCGTTTTTAAGCGTTTTTAAGCAAGAAACGTGATAATTTTTCGCCTCGATTCGATAAATTAACGTGATATAAATAATATTAAATATTTACGTAGAACGAGTGTATTTCATATACCTCTTCAAATATATTGCGATAGCTTTTTTTCAGAGAAAGATACAACGAATATACATTGACACCGTTTCGAAATTCAATTATTTGAAAATTTTACTTTCGATCAAATATCAACGTTTCCACTTTCCGATAAATTGCCGCATTATTTTCAATTTGCCAATTCGAACGACAAACATCGTAAAACGACGCATTAATCTTATCGTGCAATAATACCGCGCCGCACTCTTTGACGATCGATTAATTAATTATAGCGGATTAATAATATAATTCCATCTAATAATGAGTTTTCCCTTCCTTTATTTGTCAATACCCCGCTCGTTACACCCTCGATTGAATTGTGATTAAAATTGTCCCCACGTGGCGTACCGTATCGAGGCTACCATTGAATTTCTAGGTGATGCAACTAGTCGGCTCTCTTTACTTGCTTTATTTCCCCTATTGCGGACTGATTCTTTGGGAAGTTTGCGACGTTGGCAATCGGCAGTATCTCTACAACCATACGAAACTCGCTTCGCTGGCTTCCCTTCTCCTCGCCTGTTCTCCGCCCATCAACGGCCTCCTCTACGGATTAAAATCGCAGACACTTAGACGATCGGTGCAGAATTATTGGCGGAAGAAGGCGACCAAGTCGGAGCTGCAACAAGTAATCGATTCAACTTGTTCAATTTATTTCCATCCAACAGTTTGAAAAAAAAAATCATTTTCCGTGTTTTCCTTCTTTTTTTATAATATTCGAAAGACGATCGTCGATCACAATGGCTTCTAATTTAGGAGATCCAAGCGCGAACACCGAGCGCGGCGGGGTCGAGAAGACCGTCCGGAAGCGGAACCGGCTCTTTCTTCCCTTTCCCGCCGTTGCAGCGAAGGCTCAGCGAGGCGCTGCTCGCGTTGGGATCCTGCAGAACAGGAAACAGCTTCGACACCAATAATCTCGGCTTTCATCGAACCAGATTGCAACCCGCCGCTTCGTGTAATACGCTTCGAGTCCCAACTTCCGAATCAGGTTAATAATAGCCGGCTTCTGTTCCTCATCGCGCGATAATTCACGGCTATAATTTATGACAGGTGAAAGCAGTAAATTAGTGAGGTCCAGCGCGAGTGCAGCGAGCCTGATGGGCCCTCACTACAGAAGCGACTTCATAGGCGCGGATGTGGGCGTCGGTTGCTCCATAGCGATGAACGAGACACCGAGGAGAAGCCCTAGAATACTTATAACCAGAGCGTGCAGCGAGGATAGCCAAGATGGTGGAAGTCCAATGCTGAGGAAACCTTTTCTAGTCAATGCTCTTCCCTGTGATAGTGCGTATATATATATATATATTATTTTTTTTTTCCTTTTTCTTCTTTTTCCTTGACATTTTTCGAGAAGAAGCTCGATGCGTTATATCTTTGATGTTGAAAAAAAAAAAGGTTTTTATTATTTATCGCGTCAAAGAGACGATTAACGAGTTTCGCTTATGCGTGTCAATTAGAACGAAGATGGCGGCATTGCAGTACCGGAAGCGACAGCAGCACGGGCAGCAGTGAGGCGAGCGTATGGACGACTGGCGTCGCGCAGAAACTCGCCAAGGCCAATGCCAAGAGTTCATCGGACATGTGGTCCGCATCGAGAAGACTCGTTCGTGGAAAAAATTTAGAGGAGGGGGCCCTTCTGGTTGGCGCCAGACCCAGCAATAACAGTGAGAGCAGCGATACCACGGACACGACGGCCACCACAACCACCACGACCATGCCCAGCAAATTGACCACCGTGGTAAGTATGCGGTGTGTGAGCCGAAGGACGTCACAACACAACCGGATACAGGCATCTTTTTGTATGAAATGTATTGCACGTGTATTGGACGTGTATTCTCCATCTTAAAAATCCTAAAACGCGCATGCCACGGGATATGTTTTCCATCATAAAAAGAGAACGAGATGAAAAGAATCTTTATTATGGTTATTTTATTTAATAAATTATTTTACATACCATGGCAATGTTTGTTTTTGTTCACATTGTTTTTGAATGTTGTTAAATCGATTGTTTATTTTCATGCCTGAGATTTTTAATATTGCTTATATAAGTCTTTTGATTAGTTATAAGAGATGATGTAAAAGAAGCGTTGAGTAATTGATGAAATAAGCAGAATCTTCTTACAATTTAATCCTAATAAACATAGATAGATCGAGATGAAATTTTTTTTACGAACATCGTTTCGAGAAATAATTTTTAACTTTAAGCACACTCGTAAAATTTTAAATAATTTTAATAATAATTTCCAATTCGTTCATCATCAAATTATTTCGCCACTTTTTAATATTCAAATAAAATTCTGACATCCGAATAAAATACGTATATCAAGTATAGTCTTTTCTTTTCCTTTTAATTCACATCAATCGAACATTTTTTTATTTATTTTAATAACTAAACTTCTATTTCAAATCGCCCACGCGTAAACATTTCAAATTATGCATATATATATATATGTCACATAAATGTAAAGTAATGCAATCATTGATGTAATTTTCCACCTCGATGACGATACTGAAATTTCACACGCGTTGGTTCTACAAAATTAACCGCTTATTGCTTAATGTTCATCGTAACGAATAATGTGCGCAGGAAAACGGAGGCTGTCGGGAGAAAGAGAAGGAAAAGATGAACGGTGGGAAGAAAGAGAGGGAGCACAGCGAAAGCGACAACAGTTGGAGCAGCGTCGACGAGATCGAGTCGAAGGAAATGGCGGACAAGAGCATGGAAGAGGATAATTTCGAGACGATCGAGGAGGAAACAGAGGCAGAAAAGTGCAACCAATTAAGGCGGAAATCGAAAACGATTCGCAAACCGGACGTTCCTCAGGATTGCAAGAAGACAGCTCAAAGAAGGCCACTTCTCACCTCGTCGTCTTAAGTTCCATCGAACTTGTCATTTCTCACCGTTTCGAATTTATTAGCATTTTCTCCTCCATAATTTTGTATCGGTGTGTATCATCCGACACACCGATTTCTCAACGTGTTCGAAATCCTTTCGAGACCACTTGGTGATATCCCAAGTTTGGATCAAAGGATTCTGTTATTCTTTCGAGGATTCAATATCGATTTTCAGATTGGCCCCTGATCAATGGTGATCCATACACAATAACCACGGAGAAGAAGTTGGTCGTGTTTCTGTATGCTCGATATTTCAGCCGCAATGTATCGACATATCCTGAAATTATATTTTTATACTTCCAACGAAGGAAATCACGAGAGCAACGTTAACGAGAGAAAATTCGCGGTCTTCTTACGGTTATCGCAAGAAAAACCGATTTAATACACCGCGGATAAATCTCAAATGGAAAATTCGATCCCTTTTATGGAAAGAAAAGAAAGTTGATCGTCGCAATATATGTATATGTATATATATATATATAAAAGTTACAGACACTTAAAGAAGTATTGCCATCGTGTTAATGTTAAGAAGTGATGGCCAATAATTTCTCCCATCGAGTTTGATGATGTTCCTAATTAATGGGTTTGTAAAAGACAGAAATTTGACAGAGCAAATATTAAATATTGATGAAAATTAATTTAACCGTTTAAATTAGGGCATAATTTGATCGAATAAATAAATAAACGTGTGAAATTGATGTTCATTTGCAGTTTAATATGGGATAATATTTCTATTTGATATCTTCAGGGATACGTATAATTTTTCATTCTTTTTTCTTTTTTTTTTTTCAAGAAAAATGAAAGTGATTAATAGAAAAAAATAAATATCTAGAGAATAAGATATTAGGATATAATTTTTGAAAAACTTTCGAAGAATCATCCCTGACGATGATTACGAGGATTGGAACTGTAAATGGGAATGAGGAAGTTGGCGAGAGGGAGTCATCGAAAAAATTTAATCATTGATGCGTAGATCAGTTAATGTGGGCGGTCGTTGATGCGAGTCTATTGATAGCAAACGATAAGCTACGTTGATACACTATACACGAGAAGAGATACAAGAGTTATCAAAGAGTGACGAATCGGACACTTTTTACCTAGCAAATTTGTACAATCAATGGCCAACCACCGTGTCTTTGCACCGACACGGTGGATTTATTTGCAATTAGGTGTAGCAAACAAAATCACCTAAAGGGTTAAATGATATTAAATGTTGGTGGTTAATTGGAATTGATGTTTCGAATTTTGTAGACGATGGACGAATTTAATGGTGTGTATGTATGTGCGTGCGCGAATGGGTAAATCAAGTTCAAAATGTTCTTATTTTTAAGAATCGTTGAAAATGGAGAAGAAAATTTTATTTATTGTTTTTTAAGGAGTAAACGAGTGTTGTACACGAAAACAAAATTTTAGGGAAAAAAAAAAAAAAAAAGAAATGAAACGTTGTTCGATTTAAACGATTAATTTGTAACATATCCGTGAAAATTCATTCAGAATCGACATTCCTTTTTATGATGTTTCCTATCGAGATATTTCCCTGTTGTCGGGAAAAAAATATATTACGATGTTACAAAGAGTGAGATCGATTCTGCGAAAATCTTGATGCACTGTCATGTTGCAAGTTTGCGTAATAGGCCAGTGTATGTATTTACTTGCTTTTGGATTCGTCAATTAGAAAATAACGAAGCGATATCGCCGTTCGTTGAATTTCTTGTTCATGGAACAGAAATATTTCATCATTCAGGCGAGAAAAATTTTTGTCAGGTACCGCGTGTTGAAATTAATGTTAATGGTATTAAAAATATCGCGATCTAAATGATGTTTGAGTGTACGTCGTTAGTGCAAATAAAATGGAAAAATATTCTGAAAAAAAAGAAAAAAATAAAAAAACACCATCCCCGGATCTCTATTGATTCTTTTTTGGATAATTCGTAGCATTCCATTGAAAATCGATGATAAATAAATTCTAAAATACACAATAATTATTTAAAATAAATAAAAAAGGTGTAATAGATTAAATCAAAATGATCGTCTTTTATTATCAGGAAATTATCATCGATAACAATTATTCTCCTCTCCATCCTTATATTTTATATTCAATCTACCTTTTTTTATTTTACTTTTAAGTGCTTGTTAAGGAAAAGAAAAAAATCGATATACTAATGTTATTAGCAAGTGCTCACGTAACAACGGTGCATTGTACAGGATGCTAAAGTTCGTCATTTAATAAGGTACTCGATTATTAAACCCGACATTTTCTCAATCATTATTGGACATTTTGTTGTGGAACTCGAGCCGAGCAACTTGTAACAGATTTAACCGAAGAAATTCGTCACAGGATCGTTTCATGGAACGAACAAGAGCTAAACTGCCGAAATTAATTTATCCGTAGAAATAAAGAAAAAAATTTTCAGATGACAGATACCTGCTACACCAGACGCTATAAAATTATCATCTGGAAATAAGGGGAATTAAATTGGTCTGCGCGCAAGCAAAAAATAACAATCCCTTCTCTGTCTTGGGCGTATCCCGCAAACACGTTTCGAAACGTTTTCGCCGCGAGTTAAATCGGCAGTCGACCGACGATCCGGCCGGGGCACAGCTCGATGAAACATTGCTGCGAAGCGACACGCGTTCGATGTTTTCGCGTGACGAAACATTTGTTTCGCTCGATCGTTGATTCGTTTCATTCAAATTCATTCGTGAAATCTGTTCGATCGTGGAATAATTGCGCGACTCACTCGACGCAAGTGATCGTAGGATGATCGTTCGATCGATATTTTGGTGAAGAGAAGAGTGTGCTCCGAAGAAAGGTATTAATAATGAAATATATTCGCGATAACATGAAAGATCTTTCAAAGGTGATTCTCTTCTCTTGGGTAACGATTTAGAATTGGGACGAACGAGGATTGTTGTTGTTATTACGTTTAATGATAGGGATAACGGAGGAAGAACGGGGGAATGTCCGTGTTAAAGATTTGATTGAGCTCGTGATCGCTTGTAACCGGTATGGAAATCTTGGTTTGAAAAGCTATACGTATAGGCTTCAATCGCTAATTGATCCGTATTTAGGATCACGCAATCGTAGCGAAACAGTTTTCGCGTTATTACGATGCTAATTGCAAATACGTGTCGAACAATTTTTATGTAATCGATTATCTTGCTCATAAATATGAAAACCCGTCACTTCACTTGACACGTGGTTCGAGCTCATGCACGATCTCACTTGTTGTTTATTGTTGTTTAAATTTAAATTTTCAGGCTTTCCACGAAGTGACCAAATGAGTTGTATCAGATGACGATTGAGCAACGTAGTGCTTCTGAAAGTATCGAATTTGTGGAGAAAATGCCGAGAAGAAACAGCTTGCAGGATATGCGGAATACGCGAAAAATATTAAGGTAATCATAAATAAATAATATGAAATATTATTAACACAAAATTTTGTTTGGTATAAAATGACAATATTCTTATGATAATTATTAAATTATCGCAATTGCATACTAATTTGATCCTGATCCCAGTTCCATATATGCGATCTAAATATTACTTTTTAAAAGATATTTTATTTAAGATATTGTTTTTTCACAAACTTTTCTTTAAATTTTCCTCTCCTTTACTATAATAAAATTAATTTTTCTATTATATTAAAAAAGTTGAATGAAAATTGTAAATTATATAGAATTAAAATTATACAGAAAAGATAAATAAGATATAACAAATCCAATATTGATTACCATTATAAAATAGGTTAAATAAACTTTTTATCGTTCTTTAAACAATAAAATCATATCGTAAAGCAACATAAAAATTTTATAATATAACGAACGAATAATAAATATTGTATATTTAATAAGTATTATATATTTTTTATAATCTAAACCTATCTTTTATATATATTTTACAATAATCAGTTAAGAAATCTTTAAGAATTTTTCTTTTAAATTTTGTATAATATTTAGTTTACACAATAACATAATTTTGTTTACCATTTTTCTAAAGAATTCGATAATGTATATAAATATAGAATTATATATGATTTTCTCTAAATGAAATAGTTATATTTCATTTGACTTATTAAATTATTTAAACTTTATCTTGAAACGTTATCTATGTTTTGTACTATATCGAAGGATCGAAAATAAAAAATAATCGTTGCAACAATTATATAAAAAAAAAATTATATAAAATTATGTGAAAATTGCAACAATTATTGTTTTACTTGTCAAATTTTTCAAATTAGGAATGATACATGTGCACGTGACGTTAACTCAGGAAACAATTCTGCACTAGTGGCGAGAAATGCGCAAACTCAGATTGATTTTCTCCGGTCAGCTGGTACTGTTCATCTTCGGACGATGCGGTTAATCTTTCGTATGAATTTCGACGAACAAATTTCTCTGATAACATGAACGATATGGATCAAGAGTCCTCGATAAAACGAAAAAGAGGTCGGTGTGAGAAAAGTGAATGTGAATGGTGATCAAAAATCGTTTGTCTCTAACAGTAAGTGTTAAATAATGCGCCAACAAAAGAAACTTTATGTATATGAGTGTGATTGTGGTTACATCACGATTTGTTTAATTGAATCGTTCAAAGATGGCGATAACTGTTCGTTTGACGTTTTGGTAACAGTTATCGTCGATGTTGGTCGATAAAAAAAATCGCTAACATTACATTTTATCGTTGCTCTTTGTAGCAGAGAAAAAACATGACTTCCTCACCCTCATCCAGCACCAGTTCCGCGTATGCTAGTACTGACGAACATCGTCAGTACTATAGTAACGATAAACAAAATTTCTTCGATTCGGACGACATCGGAACAACTCGGCTATTGCGCTCGTACTCACCTCATCGTAGCAAAGCAAGAGGATTTTTTGCGAGGCTGCGAATTGACAAGTGAGTTCGCTTTGCGCAAGTCACCGCGCGCGAATTTATAAAATATTTTATAAAATATTTACAACTTCTACGCACAACTTTGATCTTCTAAATTAATATGTATAAATTTATTATACGTATAGAATTCCAGATTAGGACAAAATATTATCTTTATCGACAATTGCATATAAACTTTGTAATGAATCTGATTTCACATTGATATTTATTTATTCGTAAGTTTTTTTCAAACAAAATTTTATGTTCTATAATATACTCTGCTATTGGCAACTGGAATAAAAAATAAAAAAACATTTTGCAATTTTATTTTATCATTATTTTTTTATAGATTGATTTAACACTTAATTAAAAGATAATTTATTTTTTTTATTTCTTTTCTTTCTCATTTTCAGATCCTACATTACTACAAAAAATATTGTAATAGCAGGAATAATATTAACTACATTGATTCTTGCAATAATAGCAATCTGTACTATTTATGGTGCCAGAGATGTAAAAATCCAAGAAATACCCGACCCGGAACTACCATTACCCCCTTCATGGAGTAAATTAAAAACGTTTAAACATGGTGCTGTTTGTGCAGATGGTGCACCATGTGCACTTGTGGGCAAGTATGTAAAATTGTGTTATATTACATTAAATTATATATACAATTGAATTATTAATAAATTTATCATTTTTTCTCACAGGATGATTCTATTAAAAAATGGATCAGCAGTGGATGCTACTATTTCGGCAATGATTTGCAATGGTCTGGTAAATATGCAAAGTATGGGCATTGGAGGTGGATTTTTCATGACAATTTACGATAAAGCTTCTAAGCGTGCCTACACGTTAACTGCAAGAGATCGTGCTCCATTAGCTGCAAATGCTACAATGTATAATGGTAAACCACAGGAAGCATCGATGTTTGGTAAATTTATTTTTTCTTATTTGTTTCTTTTTCTTAATGAATAAAATAAAAAATAATAAAAAATTTTATATTAATATATTAGGTCCATTGGCTATTGCTGTTCCTGGGGAATTGGCAGGATACTGGGAGGCTCATAAACGTTTCGGTAAATTACCATGGGCTGATTTATTCAGTCCTTCGATCGAGATATGCGAAAAAGGATATAATTTGACAAAAATTCAACACGACGGATTCAAATATAACGCAAAAAATATTTATAAAGATCGTGTCCTAAAGTAAACGTCGTGTGATTTTCATAATTATTTCATGATTATCTATAAAATCAATAAAAGTTACATGCTTTTTTTCATTTCAGAGAATTATTTGTAGATCCACAAACGAATGAT